AGAGACAGAGAGAGAGACAGAGAGAGACAGAGAGAGAGACAGAGAGAGGAAAGAGAGAGAACATCTGACCTCTAGCTTTCAACACTGTCAAGATGAAAAAAATGGGAAGCAGATCACTGGTAGAGAACTCTGGGTTTAAAACCTACTTACACCCCCCACACACACATACACAAATAGAAGAAAAAGGCTAAAAACTGCTTAATATTAAAACAAGCTTTTTAAAAGGCCCATATTTCTAATAATTATATGAAAAGATGTTCATTGTCATTGTTTGTCCAGGAAATACAGGTAAAAACTACATTCCTAGGTCAGAGAGATGGCTCAGTGGATAAACATACTTGCTGCAAAGCCTGACATCCAAGTTCAATGTATGGGACCCACATGGTGGAAGGAAAGAACCCACTCCCACAAGTTGTCCTCTAACTTCCATACATGCACATGCATACATGTATACACACAACTAAATGTAATCAACAGAGCAACAGAAGTCTCACACACTGCTGTGAATGGGTTTTTAAAATAACTGCTTTATAAAAATTTCCTAACATAATCTAGTATACCTAAATATACATTTATGCTATGACCCAGTAATCCTACACCTAGGTATAAATGTAAGAGAAATGAGTACATATGTTTATCAAAAAACACACAGAAAGGTTAACTAACACCAGCATTACACAAATCAATAGTCTCTCTACACACAGATAAACCTAGGGGTGATGGTATACCTCAGTGGTAGTATGTACAAGGTGATGAGTTCAGCCTCAACACCCAAAGGTTGTAGGGGTATTAGAGCTCAAGTAATAAATAAATCATTCCTCTGATTTCAGGAATAAAACAGTAGTAAGATAGACTAATAAAAATCATAATTTCTCAGGTGTTCTTACAAATAAATATATAACTTAGATATGCTAGAATGTAGTTATCCATTAAAATAATACATAACATTGTAGAGACAACATTCTACCATGGCAGCCAGAGATGCACCCCAGCATTGAGGAACAGAATGGATAATCAGAAAAACTCCGCTAGTACTAACAGTTCCCATGATTTAAAATTATGTTAGTATTTGTATGTGACACATTCCTTAGACTCTCTAGTCAATTCAATATCAGTTGTCTCTCCATTAGTGGATCTAATAGAAGCCTTGTTCTTCCCTGCTGTTTCCTACCAAGGGGACTTCT